CCCCAAAACCCCAAAACCCCAAAACCCCAAAATTTTGAAATAAAATTGAAATTTTCTAAATAAATTAGCTAATTTAGATTGAAAATGAACCGCCAATGAGAAGTATCTCTTATTGACTTATTACAGGACATATAGGTTGGGGTAAAAGGGAAGTCTGGTGAGGTTTTTAAGTATTAGATTATGCTTTGAAGCTTTATTAGCAGAGATATGGGGTGGTGGCATGTGGTATTGGTGAGGGAAATTATATGGTTAGGTTTGGTATTGGGAACTTTAGGATGGGTTAGTGTGTTGAAGGAAATGAATCCAGTTTGAATTTGGGATTAAAATTGATCGAAATTTGTAAAATATAAAAATTGATTAATTTAGATTAAAGTATTTTCTTAAAAATAAGTGTCAAATTGTAAAGGTTGATAATGCTCAGTGAATTCTGGAGTGAACTCATAATTTATGATTCTTGGATACAAACAAATGTTTAACTCTAACCAAAATTTGACTGATCGAATAAATTTTATTTTAGAAAAATAAAAATTGTTAAATAAATAAATTTATAGAGTATTTATAATTTGAATGACTATAATTTAGAATTTTGTATCCAATCCATAGTCTTTAACTTTCTAAACTTCTTTCTCAATCCTACATTTTCTACTTCTGACCAAAACTTTCTTCAATTAACTTCAAAAACCACCTAAATCTCCCCAATATCCCACCAACACTAAATTTCCAATTCCCAACCCTTAAACCCCAGAATACACGGTGAGCTTTCCAAGACTCTCTCCAAAGTATCCTCACCCCCACATCCTCCTCCTTCACCTCCTTCTTCCCTCCCTCTAAAAAACCCACCCCCCATCTCCTTCCTTCCAACCTCAGACTTCCCCTTACCCTTAACATCCACTCTTTTATTTAAGCCTCTCTACGTATCTCCAAATAAAACTTACTACTTTTACCACTGAGAGGCCTGGTTTTAGAGAACTTTAAGTGAGTTTTTGGAGAATTTTATTTATGTTGAGATTTTTGGACATGGTGTGGTTTGGACTTTTGGAGGAGGTGATTGAACGGTGGTAGTTAAGGGGGGTTTGGGGGAGATTACTTTCTAGAGGTTCTTTTATGGGAAGAAGTCTGTTTGTCGGGGTTTGAAGTTGAATAGTGTTTGTTGAAGTGTTTGGCCTTTTGAGGTTTGGTGATCTTCTAGATGGGAGGTCAAAATTGGGGTATTTGTTTATAGGTAGTAATAAAGGTTTGAGTAATGGGGATTAGATAGTAGCTTTGGAGTGGCTTTTGAAGGGAGAATTGCATTTTGGTCTTAGGTGGTGGAAAGGATAAGGTAAAGGTGCTCTACCAACTTCTGATTAAGTCTAGATTTTGATAAAAGTGGATATTAACAAAAAAACATGGATTTAATGACCTGGGTTATATTCTTTCTGATTTCAAACTTACCCCTTTCTCTGTACTGTTTTTGTCTTGAAGACCATCTCTGAGATTTGATTCCTGAGAAATTCTGAATGATTATTCAGCTCCTCTTCCTTGACCCATATGTAATTCCCACTTTGGCTTTATTTTTTATCGAATCGATCTTAATTATACATTTTCTTAAAACATCCACCAACAAATACCCCACCACAACACAATTTACCTCCAATTAATTCCTATCAACCCCACCAAGCCCCTTCTTCCAACATCCCCTTTTCAACCACCCCATCCACCTCCCACCTCCCACCTCCCACCTCCCAGCCCCAAATCCTCTTCCTCTTCCTCTCAAAGCTCCTTCATCATTCTTAATCCCACCAGCCCCTCCACCTTCTGAAATGCTTCTTCGGACTATAACCTCAGTCTACTACTTAACTTCCTAAAATTGTTAAGAAGCAATTTTGGGTTTTTTACAGAACTCAGGTTTATTTAGGATGGATTTTTGGGGTTTTGGAGGGTTGGGATTTGGAAGGGGCTTTGATGGTTGTGGGAATGTGAGAGCTTGGGATGGAGGAAGTTGAAGGGATGTTGGGTGGAGGTGGTGGAGGAGGAGTCTTGGTTGGGAGGAGAGGGTTGGTTTATTTGGAATAGGATTTTCAATTATTTTTATTTAGATAGGGGTTTTGGGGTTTTGGGGTTTTGGGG